TGGGAAGCGATTCCTTGACCAAACCTCTGTGTCAGGTAGGAGAAGAGGCAGAGAGTATAAGACATCAGCATCACACAGATGTGGGCTGTGCAGGTGTTAAGGGCTTTCTGGTGGGCTTTCTTGGAGGAGATTTTGAGGACAGCCCTGATGATCAGAACATAGGACAGAGCAATGAGCATCAGGTCTAACACAATGACAACAAATGCTGTCACCAAGCCGTACGTCCTGTTAACTGTGATATCTCCACATGACATCTTTGCCACAGCCATGTGCTCGCAGTACGTATGGGGGATAATGCGGTTGCCACAGAATGGCAGCCTGCTCAAGATAAAGGGCAGGGGCAGAACGAAGAGAACAGCTCTTATCAAACCCACAAGCGCTAGCTTAGCTATTCGCGCATTGGTGAGGATGGTGGTGTATCTCAGAGGGTTGCATATGGCAACATAGCGATCAAAGGCCATTGTCACAAGGATGGCTGACTGCATTACAGTAACCATGTGAAGGAAGAACATCTGGGTGAGGCAGCCACCCAGAGTAATGCCTTTCAAATTAAACCAAAATATATACAGTGCCTTTGGAATGACAGAGGTAGACATGCCGATATCTGTGAGCGCCAGCATGCAGAGCAGAAGGTACATTGGCTTGTGCAGGGTCCGCTCTTTGCCTACAACAAACAGAACCATGACATTTCCCAACAGGCCGATAATGTAGAACATAGAGAAAGGGATGGAAATCCAGCCATGGGCAGCTTCCAGGCCAGGGATGCCCATTAGGATAAATGTTGAAGGATCAGAGGGGGTGACATTGAAAGCTGCCATGAGATGGTCGAGGCATCTATCAGGCTCAGAAATGCTCAAGGTGCCTGTGAAAGGAGAGAATCAGAGTGAGGGGGGTTATACATATTATAACAAATAGTATGGTAAATATTTTATAGTTTGTAACAATCTAGAAAGGGGGTGAGCAGTGCGGTGGGGACATTTACAGATGGCACCAGATTACTTAGGTCATATTGAAGTAAAGAGGAGTCCTCAGAGGGAGCTAACCAAGACAGGTGAATGGGTGGCATGATGGCAGATGAACTTCAATGTAAATATCTGCACTGTGTATGCACTTCAGAGGTAAAAGCTTGAGCTCCTCAAACACTTTATGAGGTTCTAATTTCACTGTATGAATTCAGTAGAAGACACGGTACACAGCTCTGTGAAACCCTGCTCAAAGTGCAAGCATGGCAGAAACTCAGCAAAATATTGGGTCCAAGAGGAGTGGGATGGGGAATCATACAGAAAATACAATGCCATGAGATCAGTAGGTCAATGTTTCACCCTTCTTTAGACTCCTCTGTGTGGTACGGTGCACCCTTCTCACACAGGATATTGCAGAACTAGAGGGGTTCAGGAAAGGGCAAGAAGAAAGTTCAAGGGCCTGGTTAAACTCTCATATGGAGAGAGGTTGAAAAGACTGGGACTGTTACCTTACAAAGGAGATGAATAAGAGGGGGTATGAGAGAAGTCTATAAATTACTGACTTGTAGAGGGTTTTCAGAGGGATGACTGGTACAGAGCAGATCAAGAATGTGTTCTCCCTGTCTGACAACACAAGACTATCCAGTTACAATAATTACAGTGAAATAAACATTTTGGAAAGCGTATACGCCCATCTGTTTCATGACACTAGCCAATCTCTAGCTGTTAGGCATTACCATGCCACCCTCAGGATGGTTAAGGCATCCCTCCATCAGGGCCAGCTCCAGGCACCAGCTAAGGAAGCAGGTGCTTGGGGTGACCAATTGAAATGGGCGGCACTCCGTCCGCTACGAGGGCGGCATATCTGGGTCTTCGGCGGGAATTCGGCGGCGGGTCCCTCAGTCTCTTTCTTCCTCTTTGAGCTGCCGCCGAAGTGCTACCGAAGAGGAAGAGAGGGAGTGAAGGACCTGCCGCCGAACTACCACCGAAGAATGGAGCGGCGCGATTGAGCTGCCGCCCAAGTGCTGCCGATTGCCTTTTTTTTTTCCTCCGCTTGGGGCGGCAGAAAACCTGGAGCCGGCCCTTCCCCCATCGACCTACTGCTGGGATTCTTACACCTTCTTCTGCAGCACCTGGGGCTGTCACTGTCAGACAGAGTACACTGGACTAGATGGGCCATAGATCTGATCCACGATGCAGTTCATGTTGGATAGGAGCCAAGTTTCCCACATGGAAACAGACATTATCCTGTTGGGCTATGACTTTGTGCTCAACAGAATGGACATGAAGGGCACAAGGGTATTTAGGGCTACAGGCCTGCACCTCTATTACATCTCTGGCTTCTTTCGGTGAGACTTTCTTGCAGGCACTGAGCTTTCTCTGAGTGACAAAGATGCTGGTCTCTATCGTGGAAGCACAATGACTCTGAACAAGATTTTGGAGTGTGAAGGGATAATTAGCTAAACATGACTCCGAGTATTACCATGTGGCCAAAATAGCCAATGCGATCCTGGGATGATAACTGGGGGAATCTCAAGTAGGAGTAGAGAGGTTATTTTACCTCTATATTTGGCGCTCGAGCATCTGCTGTTGAAATCTGTATCTAGTTCTGGTATCCACAATTTAAGAAGGAGGGTGGAGAGACGAGCCACCAGAATAAGTAAAGAATTAAAAACCTGCCTTATAGTGTTACGGGGAGACATTAGCTCTTCAGTCTAGCAGAGAAAAGTCTAACACAATACAGTGGCTGGAAGTTGAAGTTAGACACATTCTGACTGGAAATAAGGGATACGCTTTTAAAATGGTGAGAGTAATTAACCATGGGAAAAAATTTAAAATAAAGACTGGATGTTTCTCTCCAACAATGGGTCTCAGTATTTCCAGACTACTGTATCCCTTTCAGGAGTCTGATTTGTTTTGCGTACCCCAACTTTCACCTCACTTCAAAACTACTTGCTTACGAAATCAGACATAAAAATACCCTAGTGACACAGCACACTATTACTGAAAAATTGCTTACGTTCTAATTTTTACCATGCACAAGTACCATGTACGAATGAATGTACAAGTAAATAAATTGGAATACAAATATTTTACTTACATTTTAGTGTATAGTATATAGAGGAGTGTAACAAGTCTGTAGGAAATTTTAGTTTGTACTGACTTCACTACTGCTTTCCATGTAGCCTGTTGTAAAATTAGACAACTATCTAGAGGAGTTGACATGGAAGGCATCTGTGCACCTCTAAGGGTGTGTGTACCCTTGTTGAGAACCACTGCTCTAAAAGACCTTCTCTATTTCAAACATGAATTATTTCATGGCAGGTCTCTGGCCTGTGCTATGCAGGAGGTCAGACTACATGAACAGAACGGTCCCTTCTGGCTTTGGAATCTACAAACATGTCCTCAGGGGGCAGCTGGAGGCATTTTGCCTGCATGCTGAAGCCAGAGTTTACTGAAGGAATTTTTTTCTATTTGTGACAGTGGTGATTTTAGCCCTATGGGGAGAAATTCCAGTGGGACTGTGGTGTCTGAGAAATGTGACAATAGGTGGGTATTTCACGAGGCTGAGGGATCCCGTGACACACTGCATGGATGAACGTTTTAGGTGAGAAAAGTAATGACTTCAGCCCATAAAATCTCTGCACTGAAGAATGTATGTGCAAGTGTCACCGTGAATGGCTAACAGAGCTGGCTTAGATATGGTCCCAGAGCATCCTGGGTTTAACGTCTGTGTCCCAGTGGCCCACTTGTTTCAGGCATCTGCCAGTGGCTCCTGCACATGGAAGCTGTAGTAATCTAGGCCCTCACATGTTCCAGAGTTTCCAACTCTCCTTATATAATGTGCAAACTTCTCGGCTTGCGAGTTGTTCCTGTGTAGCAGTCCCCGAAGCTTCATGCCACGTCTATGGGTGCAACAAGAAAAGCAGCACAGGTGCCCTGGCATTTGCCACTCGTGTGTGAGATTCTCACTGCTGAGCCACAGTCACTGATTACCCCCCAGCCAAGGGAGCAGGTGTGAGAGGAGGCACCTCACCCCCTGGAGAGGAAGAGTTGTGGTGGGCATAGGGCAGCTCGGAGGTTGTGGGAGCCAGGGATGACTGGGGAGCATGAAGCAGACACTAGCGTTCAGCATGCTGTTGGAATCAGGGCACCCTGCGATGGGGAAGGAGAGTACGGACAGAGGCTCAGAGGATAATGGAAGATTGAACCATCTGAGAAGCAAAGATCAATGGTTCTTTTCACTGGGGTAATGCCTATAGTTATGTAACAACAACAACAATTGGAAACAAAACAGATTAAAGGTGGTGACACCCAGGCTGCAGCTCTGTGGTTTGCCAGGGAAGAGAGACCCTGAGACCCACCCACATGCATTCAAGGCCAGGAAAGGTCCCAGCGCTGGCCGTGGACCAACAATCAGAAAGGAAAATTAAAAATCAACAGTGCAGCTTGCCTGACCATGTAAACATTGCTCCCCGCCCCCACAAGGCCCAGCATTTGCTCACCTGTCCATGTACACGCAATCCCCATCCCCAAACAAACCAATGCTATCCACTTGTCCATGTACCCACTGCCTACCACACAGCCTACACCTGCTCTCCACTCCCACCACCCACAGCATTTGCTCAGCTGTACATGAGCACCTCCTGCCTACCCCACAACTCTCATTACTTCCTGCCTGTCGGTGTACACCCTGCTCCCAGCCCTCACAGCCCCCAGCGTTTGCTTGCCTGTCTGTGTACACCGCCCCATCCCACAACACCCAACGCTCCCTGCTTGTCTGTGTACACCCCCCGACTCTCACCCAACACCCAACGCTCCTCGAGGTGAGGAGCGTTGGGTGTTGGGTGAGAGTCGGGGGGTGTACATGTCCCCCATCCCCACAACGCACACTACTGCCACACAGTGATACCACTCAACCAGGACAAAAACCAAGTGCCAGACCCCACAGCAACTGCTCACAGAAATAGCTGACTATCTTAAACTCACTTTCTGCCTGCACGGGGGAAAAGAGGGAGATCTGTCTGAATTGCCTCTCTAGGGGTGAAGGGAACCCCAGCAGCAGACCCGGAGGGAGGGAGAGAGGACATGAAGACTAAAAAGGAGGCAGCGTGAGTAACTCTTCCTCAAAAGACCCAAAGGTTTATTGTATTGCAGTCTGTTAGAAACCCAGACACCCCTTCTTGAGGCTGCTTTTCCATGTTGGTTATTGCTGATTTTACCACGAGGCTGTAGTGGGATTGCTCATGGATGAAGGGCGGTCTATATGGGGGATGGTGTCTGAGACAATCTACTACAGTGTGGTCCACATTATGTTACAATCTGAGACACCTCCCCGTCCCAGGAGGCCTCATTACACCTCTTTGGTCTGTGCATTAGGCAGGATGTCGGTTCCCTATTTTGACCAGTTTCAGGACCTGATGGCACCGTGGTCTGGATACAGCACATCTCCCCCCTGCACCCACACACACACTGTGTATTCTGGGACCTCCCCTGGTGACATTTACAACACCGCCTGGTTTCCTCTAAGCCACAAACACGCTTTTATTTTCATGGTTCTCGTCCTCTTGAGAACCAGAGATGCCACAGCACACAGAGCGGAGACCCCTTTCCCCACACAAAAAAATATTATCCTGATTGTTCTGAATCTATAAGTCTGTGACTGTGAGATTTCAGCAATACGCCTGTCAGTTGTTATTTTTGGTCCGAAGAAGCTCACCCGTCCTTAGAGGCCACGGGACGACTCCAGATGAAGTCACTGGAGGCTCATGGCCGATGTAAATAAGGCCATTTATTTAAGTCCCTCCATGTGGATTTAGAGTGAAATCCTGGCTGTGTTGGGATTTTGCCGTTGATCTCAGTGGGTCCTGCTACAGAGGGCATTATTTTGTTTTGCTCA